TGATCTAAATCTATTGATTAAAATTTTTGAAATTTTTCAATCAATTATTTTGTTTCTACTTAATTTATTTTTATTTTTATTGATATGGTATCATAAGATTTGAAGAAATATTGGTTAAATCTACATAGACAATTGTCTTAGTCTCTGTTCAATATAAAGTAAATCTCATTGTATTTGTAAAATTGATAAATCTACATAAAGTGTGGAAGTTTATGTCTACAAAATTTCTTTTCACAGTAACTAAAAAATAATAATATTTTTGAAACTTTTTGTACTCAAATTATTTAAAAGAATAATAATAATAATTTTGAAAAATTTTATACTCAAATTACTCAAAAGAATAATAATAATAATAATTTTAAAATCTTCTATACTCAAATTTTACGGTAGTATCGTCATAACTTTTTGATTTAAAGGAACTGAAAGCCGTCTTCTTCATCGAATCCTTCTTCTTTGAAGGAAAGCTTGACTGAACTAAGGCTTTCTATACTATAGTTAAGTTTCACCAGAAACAGCACCATATCAATATTTATTTTATAATATACTAGGTAAATTTTCTTTCAAAAACTTTATAATCTATTTATTTAGGCTTATAATATTTTCTCATGTCATATTCAGAAAACATCTTTCATACAAATGTAAACTTTAATATTTTTAGATATTTTCTTTACAAAATAGTTTAGAAAAGTTGTAGGTGACTTCACATCTTTTAATTATAATATAGAAAATTATAGATAATTTTACATATTTTAATACAATATTTTAGGAGTTTTTAATTGTTTAAATATACAAATTTTATGTTCTATTGAACAAGCTAACTTTATATAGTTCATAATAAATTGATATACCGTAAATTATATGACATGTTAACAACACATCGTTAATTTATAATTATTATTTAATATCGTTTACCCTCATCTTTAATTTATAATATATTTTCTTGCTCTTTTAAAAGAAGATCAATAGTAGTTCCCCACTTCTTTTATTGAGTCACTCGAACTCGATACTTATTTATAATTATTATTTAATATTGCGATGCACGGGATACGCACTAGTTTATCATTAAGAGTTGTGAAAAAAGTTGGTCCATCTTGAAAATAATAACTATTTTGTCCAACAAAATTTATCAAAAATCCAATCGCTATAAAGAAAAATGCTCCCTTATCCATGGTGGGCACATGTTAATATGCCCATCGCTTATGTGGCATGCACACATTGGTGATGTTAATATGTTCAAAAAAAATACATCACTAATATGTGCATGCCACATAAGTGTGTGCATATTAATATTTGTCCACCGTGGCTATCGGAGCATTACGATAACAAAAATGAAAAGGGGCCTTTGACACGTTGGTAATCCCAAGAGATGACACCAAACCTCACCGTCTCCTGCTGCTGCCTGCTCTCTCCCTCTTCTCCTCTTCTTCCCTGCGCTGCTGCTTAACTTTTTATCTGAGAAAATTCCATTTTTATATGTCATCGTGGCGGCGCGTGAGGTTGCTGTTGCTGTGAAATAGGTTGTGCAGCTGAGATCGTGAAGAAATGTTAGACCTGGTAAATTGCTTCTTCCCACCAATTCAACGAATCTTTCTTCTTCTTCTTCTCGCTTAACGCCTAACGTGACTGTTATTTTGTGACCTAGCTTGTTTTCGGATGAGATTACGATGGATATGGTTAGCAAAACCCGGAATATGTGGGAAGGTCTGGTTAAGGACACCTCAGTCAAGTGGCTGACAAAGAGGCGGAGTGGTTTCGAAGAGGAGATTGAGGAAATCAGAGATTCTCCATCCAACTGGATATCCGGCCTCTCTCCCGTCGCAAACGTGGTGGTCCGCAGATGCTCCAAGTTAGCTTTCTCTCTGTTTTGTCATTTTTTAGTTACTTTTTCCTGTGCTTAATTCAAGTTTCTGTGGATGAGAATGGTTGTTTGCCTCTGTGGTAGTGTTGGTTCTACACAATGTGCATTGACTTTGAGTTATGTTGTGTATAATTGATCAACCTTTTGAACCTGGCTTAATATGGAGAATAATAATGTGGTGATGTTGGAGTTCTTGGTGTAAGCATTCACTGGTCCAGTGTTTGCCTCTTGACAATTGTTTCCTCCTATGCTTCAAAATTTGTCTGATTGAAATTGAGGCACGTGAAAATTTGTTTGTCAGACAAAAGAAATTTGGGATATTGGTACCACATTCTAAACCCTTGTTCGGGAAACACATGTCGAACGAGGACCTGTAAGAAAGGCAATGACTATACAACCCCTTTCTGGGTATGCTTCAAACTTGGTCTGATGAAATTGGGGACTTGAACATTTGTTTTTTGAAACAAAAGAAAGTCGCATACTAAACCCTTGTTCAGGAAACGCGTGTTGAATGAGAACCTGTATGGAAGACAATGATTATACAAACCCCTTTCAGGATATGTTGACTGATTTTTCAAGTACGGCAGTTTGAAAGAGAATGAAGCAGGATTATAGGGAAATGGTAAATCCACTTGGCACACTTGGAGAAGTGAGTTCTAGAAAACTTGAATCTGAAAAACGCAACTAAGCACGGTAAGTAGGAAGAGCTTTGGAACTGGAGTACCCTTTTTGGTTCAAAATTATTCAGTTCGTCCTAATATCATCGAATTTTTGTTGAATAATTTATAGATACAATTAAGGATTTTGCCTTCTTCAGTTTGGTACTGTAGGATGGTTGATATTAGAGCTAAACAAGGACAAAAATGGAAAAGCAAAAAGGAAGTGCAGTTATCGATTGTAACTTATAGGAATGAGTAACTCATGTCTTTAATTTTTATGGATATCTATTATTGATTTTTGGATTGTTAAAACACTTGATGAATAATTCTTCACTATTTATATCTTCATGAGATCAAGTAATTCAAAATATTTAGTCATTCATCGCAGTCATAAGCACCATGTCAATTATAAAAGCAGAAAGGCTTATTGACTTAGAATAAGTTGGGCCTCTCTCCTCTAGGTGATATGAAATGATGGTTTACCCATTTCTTTAATTCGAATATCCAACTTAATTATTGACTGGTGACTTCCAGCATTTGTCTATGATAGAATCATTTACCATATGAGTGACTTTGTTTAAGCGACATTCATGACCTGATGCATATTGACAATCCTAATCGTTAGATATGATTTTCAGGTATTCTTGGGTTGTAAAGGTAATTCTAGGAAGACAAGTTGCGTGCAACTTAAGTTGTAAAAATTCATTTCATTTAGCCTTTTCATATGCCTGGTGTGGGATTCGACTTCTCTATGCTAACCAATTTTACAAAATGAATATATTAGCCCAAGCATATTTCATTTGATTTATTGATTGCCTGTCCAGTAACAGTCTTTTAGATGGAAAATGATACTGTATAAGGGCTGATTGGAGAGAATATAAGTCTATTGTTGAGGCTGCAGCTTTCCTTTTCTTTCTCTCTGTTTTCCGTTACAATGTAGAGAATTAATATTCTGGTCATTTCTGTCTATCTAGTACCCTTGTATATTTAAGGTGCAGAATAACCTATTGATTCTAATGGCAGAATCAATGCAACCACTATTTTCCTCTGTTCTAAAAATTGACCTACGCCCCTGTCTAAGCGCTACATGGCACCTATGCTCCACCTTTTCCTCCGAGGCGGTCTTTTTAGGCACTTGGACGATTAGACGGCGTCTAGGCGGTTACGAAGTTACTCATGCCTAGGCGACCTACGCGGGCTCCTAGGTGGTCTTGGCGGCACCTAGGCGCCCATATATATTTTTTCAAAATTTTTAATTTATTTTTGTAAAAAATAAAATAATTTTATTTTTTATGCATGAAATTTACATTAGTTATATAATAACAATTAATAATTTTATTAAAACTAAATCAATAATTATGAGAGTATTAGATGTTGCATAATCTTTGTTTTTACCATATTAACTAATATATTTTATATCATATATCTTATAAATTATACATGATGATGATCATAAATAAATTTATTAATATTTTCACTACCCCACCTAGGCCCTAGGCCCCAGCAACGATTGCCTAGCAACTTTTAGAACATTGCTGTTTTCTAAACTTACTGCTATCCTGATTGTTGAAATTCAATTCAGTTGAGATTTAATGGACTATTCAGAACTTTGTTTCGTGATGCATGCTTTATTCTTTATGATACCCTTTTACTAAAATTCTTCCGTTTGCTTGTGTAATCATTCAGAATTCTTGGCCTTTCCATGAGCCAACTTCGAGAAAACTTTGATGAAAAAGCTCCAGATTCTATAAAGAGTAAATCAAACTTTGCACGGATTTTTTTGGAATATTGTTGCTTCATGGCTCTTGCCCGGACAATACAAGTAGTTGGTTATCTGGATGACAGCAACTTTCGACGTCTTACATTTGACATGATGGTTGCCTGGGAGTTTCCTGCAGCTACCAGTGAACCAGTTATCCATGTAAGTCTTTAAAGTTTCAGTAGCAGGAATATGAATCTGAGTATATACTGATATTCTGTCTGGAGAAAAGTAATTTGCATCATTCCAGAGACTGAAAGTTTGTTCACAACTCTTTCTCTTGAATTTAGATATGTTTTTGTTGGAGTATCACTTGTGAGTTGTTCCACATCGATCCTATTGGCAAATGGGCTTAGTTTATAAGCCTAATGGGCTACTCCTCTTAACAGTTTTGGAATGAAACCTCACTAAGGTGGCAACTAGGCTTGCTCTCTAACGTGCGCTTTACCCTTGTGGAACTGCACCCCTTCCCTAGACTATATAAATCTAATATAGTATCAGAGCGAGCACGTGATCTAGGACCTGCGATGATTTGATCTACCTTATTTATCTACCAGGTTTGCTCTACGCTCTAGGCCTGCTCTAAGCCTTCGCCTATTAAGTCAGGAGGCAGTGTTGAAATATCACTTGGTAGTTGTCCACATTGATTCTAGAGCCTAGTTTATAAGGCTAGTGGACTTCACCTCCCATCACCAATTGGTTTTGGGATGGAACTTCACTAAGGTGGCAACTAGGCTCGCCCTATGCTTCACCCTTTTATGGGACTGCACCTTTTCCGCCCTTCCACCGACTGTATAAATCTAATAGTTTTTCGTAACTGTTGTATCTTTAACAGTTGGATGATGATGTTACCATTGGAGTTGAAGCTTTTTCTCGGATTGCTCCAGCGGTTCCTCTTATTGCCAACGTTATTGTCAGCGATAAAATATTTGAGGTGCTTGCAGCTTCATCTGGTGATCGGCTTCATTTCTCGGTCTATGATAAGTACCTAATTCGCTTGGGAAGGTACAACTTGCGTGGCTTTACTTTCTGATGGGAAAGTTCTTCTGTTGTGTGCTTCTTGTTAGCAGTATATATTATAATATGTGCACTGCTGTAAATTTTTTTAACTATAACTCGAATTTTCGGTCTTCAAGTGTCACAATTTAGTTCGCCTTAAGATAGATATGTGATCAAATTGTCTTTTAGTTAGTTGTTTAACTTAATTTACTGTTTAAGCTGGTATGGTTTGCTCTATAGCTTTCGTAATTTTGTTTTCTTTTTTTGCAGGGGAATTAGAAAGTTGCAGTCCCAATCGGAATCTTCTCTGCTTTCTTCTTTTCGGTCTGGAAGAAGTGAAAAAATCCTGGAAGTGGATGGAACTGTCACCACTCAGCCTGTTCTTGAACACGTGGGTGTTTCCACATGGCCTGGTAAGTGATGATGTTCTTCAAGTGAAGATAGCAAGTAAGTAAATTTGGTGAAATTTATGGATACTTTTGGCTTACCTAGAAATCGATGGCTGCATGTTTGTCATTGCAGGAAGGTTAACTCTGACCGACCATGCTCTGATATTTGAAGCTCTTCGAGTAGTCTCTTATGATAAACCTAAGATATATGATCTCGCTGATGATTTACAGCAAGTTGTTAGACCTGAACTCACAGGGCCATGGGGGACCAGACTTTTTGACAAGGCTGTCTTCTATAAGTCAGTTACACTGTGCGTCTACAATGCATATACACCATTTTACATATTAGCGATACAGCTGTTGTAGCAAATTATATTTTTACCGAGTAGTACAGTTGAATCCGACCTATATTTAACAAATTATAAATACACTCTGAAATGTTTGTTTTAGAGACAATTGCTTATGCCCATCTATATTTAACAAATTATAAATACACTCTGAAATGTTTGTTTCACAAATTGAATCTTCTGGAAAAGGCTATTTATGTAATTAGTCTAAAATGGCAGTCTTGTTCCTTTATATTTGAGGGCTGCAGTTCGGAACCTGTTGTGATGGAGTTTCCAGAGTTGAAAGGTCATACACGCCGTGACTATTGGTTGGCTATTATCCGTGAAGTTCTATACGCCCATAGATTCATGTTGAAGTTTCGGATCAATGGTCGTGACAGACACGAAGTTCTACTGAGAGCCATATTTGGGATAGTGCGGCTGCAAGCCCTCAAAGAATTGAGTTCTACAGTACCTCTGTGCTGTGAGGTTCTCCTTATGTTTAATCTTTGTGACCAGCTTCCACGTGGAGACCTGATTCTTTTAGAACTTTCAAAAATTTTAACCACAAGAGATATGGATCGAAAAATTGCTGTTAAATCGGGAACTGGGATGTATTCAATATCTGCCTCGTCTCTGGCTTCTAATTTGGGATTCATCATGGGGACAAATTCCGGCATGTCTAACGACGGTGGATTGGTGGTTGGAGAAGTTGCTGTTGGGGAGATGACGTCTTTGGAGAAAGCTGTTAAAGAAGCAAAAAGCAGCTATGAAAACATAGTGCTTGCACAAGCTACAGTAGATGGTGCTAAAGTCGAGGGCATTGACACCAACTTAGCTGTGATGAAGGTACGCTTATCTAACAATGTAACTTTTTCATACTTGAAAATTCATTGGGATTTGAATGCTTAAAGGTCGCAAGTTCTTTTCTGTTACCAATTGATTCAAGCCCTAAAGTTGGAAGGCCAATCCCTTTAATGGTTCAGAAAAGCCGTCATCCTGTTTTTCACCATTTAATGGGCATCTTTCCTCTAGGATTGGCTTTTTGTGAACTGCAGTAGTTGTTAATGGTGTAAATAGAATTGCAGGAACTGCTTTCTCCCATTATGCAAATGTGGAAGTGGCTCACTTTTCTTCTCTACTGGGAAGAACCTCTTAAATCCTTCATGTTCTGTTCAGCCTCCACATATATCATATGCAGGTTAGTATGTTCTCCTTCACCATTTGGATTGTAAATTTATTTGTTAGATGTGTTTGCCTCCATTTTTGTAACTCTGTTCTCGTTGATGACAATGCAATACAGGTGCATTACTGATTCGAAGGCCTTCCCCTAGATAGTGAAAATTGTTTTCAACTTATTGATTCAATTGGAAAATATTGTGTATTTGAGTTGAAAAAGGTCTTGGTTTGATATTTGATCAAGTCCAACACCTGTGTTTAAGGATGATATTTGCTTTCAAACAGTCTGCAATTTCATTCTAAATTGAAGGATCATATTTGAAAGTTGCTCTCAAATTGTATATTTACATGGGATCGGTAGGCAAGTGAATACGATTCCAGAGAAAAGAAACTGTCTATTAATCAGATCTCGATTCTTGTCTCGCAGAGGATGGATGAGCTATATGATCGTGATATTGCTCATCTGTGTTGTGCTTTTCATGTTGCTTACCCGTTACTTTGGCCAAGGAAAGCCTGTTGATGAACTCAAGGTATCAGCACCACCTGCGATGAACGCAATGGAACAGCTTTTGGCTGTTCAAAATGCAATTTCTCAAGCTGAAGAGTTAATACAGGATGGCAACATTTTTCTTCTCAAATGTCGTGCCTTACTATTGTCCATTTTCCCAAAGGTATTTTTATGGTATTTTCTTCTTCTTGAATTTAAACTCGTAGGAGACACATATTAAAAATATAACCACATACATTTTCCCTAAAAGCTTGATTGGATATAAAAATATCTAGTTATCACTAACCATATAATTTTTTTAACTCAAAATTCATTTCAATCTTAACTCGACCCAACTTTCATCAGCTTAAATAGAATTATATACCAATCAATCATCTTCACATATCACATCAACTTTATTTTATTATTTATCCACTAACATAATTTTAACTATCCATTACTTTCAGTCATCTCTCCTATTTATATATCACATCTATTTTAGTCATTACATTTTACGTATTATTAAACTTAGAACCCACTCAAACCAAACTTAATCAACTTCTTCTTCTTCT